ATTCTTCATATAGAATTCACTGTACTTCACACCCATCTCTTTAGAAAGCAGATTCTTGTCTATTGCATATACTCAATAAGTGGCAGGGTGCCTTGATGTGAAGACGGATATGTTTTTCCTTCTGTAGTTGAGTTATGTACCTTAGAACTGAATAGGGTCTTTAAGATAAGCCACTCCAGCCCTTCCATTTCCTCTTAACTTCTGGTGTTGTGTGCTTAGTTATTCCATGATTGATATGTTTATCGCTGAAAGGTATATAGAAAAATTTTATGCTTTCTGTAACTGTGGAGTTTAGTTAAAAGATACTGGCTCAGACTTGATTCTGCCCATACATGTGTGCTTAGTGAACTTAAGCAAACCAGCCAGCCAGCCAGCCATCCATCCATCCAGCCAGCCAGCCAGCCAAGATAAACTTATACTGGAAACTTAAGGGAAATAGTATCTGAAGGTATTATTCAGTCCAGGACCCCAGTCCATGGGTTACTGCCATCCATACTCAAGGTGGTTCCTCTTTTCCTTGCTTAAAACTCTCAGGAAATATCCCATAGTCTCACTTGGATGAATACCTCATTAATGCCTTTCTTTTTTAATCCAGTCAAGTTGAAAATTGAAATTAACCATCACAACATTTTATTGGACGTTTTAATTTAATTCAATTTCATCACAGGGCAAAAGGATTTCTGTTTCTTGACAATAAAAAAAACTACTTGTTTTTTAAGTGGTAGATTTTTGTGCTTTTGTACTTACTGGAAAACCCTAAGAGTTAAAAAAGTTAAAAATGAGAGAGAGGACCTTAATTTTAATTACTTAACCAAGTTTCCAAAACTATTAACATATTACCCTCATATTAATACTAGGATATTTGCTTGGGAATATAGTTAAAAGAAATTTATTTTGTATGTAAGTTGATATCCTAGTTATTCTCTAATTTCTCATTTGTGGTCACTTTAATCTCTTTTTGCCCATAATACCTGCATGTTCTTTTACAAATAAAAAGAGGTTCAGATTAGTCGTAGCTTTTGCTTAAATGAGAGTCTGGATTTGAATTATTAGCTAAGGATATATCTTAAATAGTTTTGTGGTGTGTTTATCTTAATGCAATTTTAAATGAAAATATCCTTTTTAAAAACAGCTTCAGGAAAATACTTTTGGCAAGTAAGCCTGTGTTAATTCCTTGAAAGCAGTGGTAGTACTTGGTACTCAGTCCTTTGTTAGACTTTTAACTTGTTTTTGCCAAACTTTTGAATCAGAGAATACAATGTTACCTGCAGAAACTTCTAGTTACTAGGTATATTCACCCTTTCCAAGAGAGAATGATGATCCTGTACTGCTCTCAGGAATGCAGTGTTGTAGCTGCTTGCTCACAGATGATAAGTCTTGTTAAACTCATTCACCAGTTAATTCTTGGTTGATTATTTCTTAGGTTTTCTACCTTATGTGAATTGATGATTTCCAAACATGGTATATCTTTGTTCCTTTTTATTAGTAATTATTTTGTAGATGCAATATTTTTAAACCTTTACTGAATTTGTTCTTTGATAACTTCATACATGTAGAAAGGGCAGTCTGATTACTGTAACTCCTTATATTTTTTCTACCCCTATTAATTCCATTTCAGTTTTTTTTGTATAATATCCATAGAGTTTGTAACTAGTATTATCTGTGAAGATGGTATGACCTTATCCATCAGTGCTTGGTGAATTTCTTCAGGGGCTAAATAACGGAAGACAATACTTTCCCTTTCCCAGATTCCATTAGTAGCCAGTAATTCAGCAGGCAGGAATAGAGCCCCACAGACTCCTTCCTGGTCTGTGATTGACTGTTGATATACCCCTTCTTGTTTAACCTATTGCAGATAGCTATAGGCTGTTGTGACATGATGACTACATTGACTGTACCATGCCTAGAAGACAACATTTCAGCAATTCTTCTTCTTGTCTTCCAGTTATTCATTCTTTCTGCCCCTTTCTCTTGAAATTTCTTGAGTCTTAGAAGGAGTGGTATAAATGTCCTGATCACTTGACCGACAGTATTCTCAGTACCTCAAGCAGCCACTACTGTACAGTGCAAAGAGAAGTTTCTCTGACTCTTAGGATAACATTTGTCTGGATATAAATGTAAATATTTAGAGACTAGGTTGGTGCTGTAGTAATTTACCTAAACAACAATAGTAATATTCCCCCTTAGGGCCTAAGACCTATACAGCCATGGGGTTTTGGATCCGGTTATAGTACCAGGTATGAATTCTCTGTTGTGGAATAGGCCTCAATACAATAAGAGAACAGTTGGTTACTTCTATAACAGTCATGCACCATTGCATGGGTGGGCGCATCTTGTCTGGCAGGTTGGTATTGCAGATTGTAGAGTTTATGACTAAGACCGTTGATCCCTTTACTCCTCTAGCCGACTGCATTTTACCTTCAGGTACAATGAAAGCCTGCTAGCAGGGATGAAATTTCCAACCTGTTCCAGCTTGATTCTTGCACCTTGTAACTAAAGTATGTGGTATCTTCAGCAATAGGGTCTTATTAAATAGTTTTGATGAGCAACCAACAAGAGTGGCATAGAGCCTGCTTTGAGAGAACTCCTTGACCAGTACCTCATTGGGATTTTTAACCTTTGACTTTCAGGGTCGTCATTATGCAGATGCAATTTTCTTATAAATGGTTTGGAGGATATTTGCAAATGGCTTGAAGGGCTTTTATAAGACTTGAGTATCTTCTTGATGTTTTCATTATCCTACTTTGTAGTTGGGTTGTGAAGGACTAGGCAGTTGGTTTTGGTAGCTTCTTTTGATCTTGATTTTGATTTTGGAGATATTTTTTTTCCCAAGAATCTTTCCTGAGAAGGGGTTGCTGTTTGAGAGCTTACTGGAATATACTTTCAGGGTCAGGAGCAGATAGGTAGGTTAATGCCTTAAAATCTGTTTTGGAGTCAAAATGTTACATAGGTTTTATTTGTTTGTTTGTTTTTCTGTTGGTTGTTTTTGTTTCCTTTCTGCAGATCCTGCTTTCCCACATTCTTAAGGATGTCTGGTGCACCGTAGAACGTAGCCTATTTCAGTTTTGTCCCAAGTACGAGCTGCATGCTCTCCTCAAGTACTTACAAATATAAAGGCTGGAGCCAATATTTATTCAGAAAATGAGACTGTCAGGAGTGAGCATGTTTTAGATTACCTTGATGACTGCATACTCTAATCCAGCTTTTTGATCTTGAGTTTGGTGTTTCCTCCTGGGTTTGAGTGGGGAGATAGATGCTAAATACAGCTGTGACCTCCTTAAGAGTACTTTTCTTCTGCCGTGGCCTCTCTGTCAGTTCATTCTCATCTGTTCTATAAGTTATTTTGCTTTATTCCTCTCCCCCTCCCTTTTTTTTTTTGCTTATTCATGAAGTTTTTTGTTTCTATTTTTTTTTTTTTTTCGAGACAGGGTTTCTCTGTATTGTTTTGGATGCTGTCCTGGAACTCGCTCTGTAGATCAGGCTGGCCTCGAACTCACAGAGATCTACCTGCCTCTGCCTCCCGAGTGCTGGGATTAAAGGTGTGTGCCATCAATGCCCGACTTTCTAAATTTTAAAAAAATGTTTTTAATTGAAATAGAATGACACCACCTCCCCCTCCATTTCCTCCTTCCAGCTTCTCCTAGCTACCCTCTCTTGCAATTTCTTCCATGCCCCACAACTCTCAACTTGATAGCCTCTTTTTCTTTTATTGTATTTGTTACATACATTCATGTATGCATGTATATGCAAAAATAAACGTAACCTGTTGAGTCCATTTTTGCTCTTTGTATGAATGGTTACAAGGCTGAGCAGTCTGCATTGAACAACCAATAAGGGAGAGGCTAATTCTCTTTCTCCCAGCATTCAGTAGTTGTCTGTAGTTCTTCGTCTAGGGGTGAGATCTCTAAATTTTCCCCTTCCCACATTAACTTGTCCATTGATTCATCTATTCTTTTCGTCTTGTTTATGTAGCCATTTCTGGGAGAGACTGTTTCATGGCTGACTTACTGGTATTTTGGTTCTTAAAATCTTTCCATTCCCTTCCAGTGATGTTCCCTGAGCCATAGATGCAGAAGCTGTAATGTAAATGTATCTGTTGGGCTTGACTTGCCATGATTTGCTCTCTGAATTGTGTGTAGTTGTTTTCTGTGATGCTCTCCATTTTCTGTAAAGAGAAGCTTTTTTTTTGAGGAGTAGTTGCCACACTTGTTTAGGAAAGGTGGCTCACACATCCAGACTTTTACAAAACACAAGTTATGAGAACCTTGAACATAAACACATCTATTAGACTTTCCAGCTTAACTGAGAGCTGAGTAGTATTGAAGCTTTTTTCTCTGATTGCATTGCATGCCCCCAGGCTCTAAATAGCACAGAATTTGGATTTCAATATAGTGTAGTCTCCTGTAGTAATGTATTTTGTAGATCTTCCTGTACTCAACCCATTCATCCTCTGCTTGCTTTCTTGTTCATTTTCCCACCTCCTATTATTTTCTTTTTGCTTATTGTCATGAATGTGTAGAAGAAACTTGATGTTACCTCTACCTGTTTAAGTGGTTAATGACAGGTGACTATGACACCTGGCAATGTTATTCAAGCTGAGCATTTTGAATCTGCTGACCTCCATTCAGTGTTATAAATTTCTGTGGGAAGTGGGAACCGTAATTCAGTTGTATTCAAGGTTTAACAGAGGTTGAATGAATATTTGTGTTCATAATGTAATGTTTTAGAGATCTTTTAAATATTCAAATGCACTAAAGAAACTTGGGGCCTGAAAAGGTGAGTGACTTGTCTGAAATGATCCAGGAAAGAGCAAGGTCTTGAGGAGCTGCAGTCCATTCTTCTTCTACTGTACTATAAACCAAAGGAGTCTTCTCTTGTCGATACTCAATTTTGGTTTTTGCCAGTCTTTTAAAATATTTATGTGGAAACCAAGAGGCTTTTAAATAAGATTGAGCATGCATTCATAAACTAATGTGTGTGTTGTCAATGTTCTCTCATAGTCAAAATGGTTTCAATCCCAGAATACTATGAAGGCAAGAATATCCTCCTCACTGGAGCTACTGGTTTCTTAGGGAAGGTGCTTTTGGAAAAGTTGCTGAGATCTTGTCCTAAGGTGAATTCAGTCTATGTTTTGGTGAGGCAGAAAGCTGGACAAACACCGCAAGAGCGCGTGGAAGAAATTCTTAGTGGCAAGGTAAGTGTGGAGGATGACCTTCAAAAAAGTAATGTGAGACTGTATTTTGTCAAGTATCCTATCTAGGGTCTGTGTACTGTGCAGAGTAACTGTAGTCCTTGCCCTCCAAGAATAGCATGTCTACTCCACCAAAAGAAAAAAAAACAAACAAAAAACCCAAGCAGACGAAACCAGGTAGTAGCCAAGTCCAGTTGGATGTTTCTTTCTAAAATTTATGGTTTTTTTCATCCTGTGGAGGAACACTATTGTGCTTTGAATTTTGTCCCTATCACTCACCCATGTACCTGCTTGTTCTGTTGATCCTTCAAGTCTCTGATTCAATGTCATTTCCTCCAAGAACTTTTTGTAACTCTTAACTTCAGGGGATACCACACCCTCTTCTGGCCTCTGTGGGCACTGCACTAAGGTGTATAGTTACATACACATATAATTAAGCAGTTTTAAAATCTTTTAAGAGTCATGCACTTAACTGGCAATGTTGGAGGGTAAGACTATCATTGTCCAGATATCTGTTATTTCTTAAGCCTATTCTGAGGTGTAAGGAACATGGACAGTTAATGTTTATGCTGCTGACTGTTTTCTTGAAGCACTGCTTAAACTCTGAGTCTCAACTTTATATCTGTAAGATGAGCAATCTTCTGTACCCCATGAAATTTAAAATTTTAAAATAACTGTCATTGTTGAGGAAGGGGTTTATAATAGGTTTTGGGAAATGGAAAACACTATCCTAGAATAAATATCTTCCCATTTGATAGCTTTTTGACAGGTTGAGAGATGAAAATCCAGATTTTAGAGAGAAAATTATAGCAATCAACAGTGAACTCACCCAACCCAAACTCGCTCTCAGTGAAGAAGATAAGGAGCTCATTATAGATTCTACCAATATCATATTCCACTGTGCAGCTACTGTAAGATTTAATGAAAATTTAAGGTAAGTACAGATACTTACTAACATTTGAATTCATATGTTACAGGTGTAATTTTAATTCCGCTTTTTAGTGAAGTTGTTTTGAAAGTGATATGAAACTGTCATATACTAACATTGACTTTGAGTGTCCTATGGAAGTTAGTAAAATTCTTTTTTCATAATCATTTTGAAAATAGCATATGCTGATTAGAAAACCTTGCCATGACTTTATAAAATAGGACAGAAGCAAGCAATGGACTAGAAGTAAGCAGAGTGTACTTAGGTAAGAAGCAGGGTAACCAACACTCAGTGTTGGTTCCTGAAGTGTGTCTGAACACTCTACCCTAGCAACTGTTTGTTTGCACTCTTCATGTATTGCAGAACAGTAATCTAATTAAGCTCAAGTTTTACATACTAAGATAGAAATGACTTTCATGTTATAGTCACTTTGTTTATATTTCAAAAACTCTGCTTTGGTGGCATTGTTAATAGTTAAAGTAATGTCAGAAATAAAGTTTATTTTAAAACATAATTTTAACTTCAGGATACATCTTCCTTCTAGAAAAGAAAACAATATTCTAAAAAGAAAATGAAGGGCCCAAGAGATGGTTCAATGGTTAAGAGTACTGGATGCTCTTCCTGAGGATCTGGGTTGAATTCTAGCACCCAAATGATGGCTCACAGCCATCTGTAGTTCATTACAGGGGATTGGCTGCCCTCTTCTGGCCTCCTTTGACACTGGACACATGTGTGGTGCATAGACATATATGCAGGCAAAACATCCATACACATGAACTAAAAATAAATAAATCTTTTTAAAAAGTGAATGAATATACATTTCAAACAATGGCATTTAATTCATAACACTTTTTTCTGGTGTGCTTAAAAGTGCAATTTTATTATATAGTCTAATACTAATTTAAATGATAAAGCATCTGTTTTTAGGTTTCAGAACTATTTGTGAAGTCCTTCTCTTTAAAATGTTCAAAAGATTAAGCTCTGCAAATGGCTTTGGCAATAACCCACACAGTTTTTGAACATAGAAGTGTAACTCTTAATAATGATTACATTGTATGAGAGCACACTGCTAAGTGTTTGGGCATATGAGGGTACTATCACTGTCTCTAATAGTTCTTGGGTTGTCTTTACAGTCTTCAAAACATTGCTCATTTGTCAGTTCCTCTGTCCTAACTTTACTCAGCTTGTTCTAGGCAAATCCATTTTATTCCTGAGGCAGCTGAGGCATACATGTCTTTCTATATTGATGGTAATTGTTTTTAGTTTTATCTACATATCATTATTCCCACCATGAACATATGTTATTCTTCAAATAAAGATAGAAACAAAATAACTTTGAAAATATATTTAAAGCATTGTTTACATTCCATCTTAAAGGAATTTATACCTTTATCAGTAAGAAAATTCCTTTTTATAATTAATTTTTAAAAATTCATATATGTGTACTATATTTAAATCATAAATACATAAACACAACTTGCCAAGTTCATTTAGTGTTTCTCGTATGTTTTTAGGATTTATCAGTTGGTATTGGATAACCAGTTAGGGGCTCATTCCTGGGAAAGACCAAGTCCCTCTCTTTCTCAGCTCTCACATAGAACTCACAGATTTCCCCTGTGTTGTTATATTACCTGATGCTATCATTGTTTGGTTTTGTTTAGGCAGCCATATTACTGAGATTATAGCTGTCTTCTCATATATAGAAGATATAATCTCGTAGCAGACTTCCTGGTCCTCTCTTAGAAATTTTTTGCCCCTCTTCTGTGACATTCCCTGAGCCTTAAGTGTAGGAGTTATCATAGATATATCAGTTGGGGCTAAGCACTGAAAATTAAAAAAAGAAATTTACCCTTTTCCTTGTATGTATATTTGCATATAGATCTAACATTACACTTTAAATAATATTTTCAAGATTACAAATATAGTCTCTGATTTTTTTTTATTTTTGTTTTTTTTTGTTTGTTTGTTTGTTTGTTTGTTTTTACGAGACAGGGTTTCTCTGTATTGTTTTGGAGGCTATCGGTCCAGCCCGGCCTCGAACTCACAGAGATCCGCCTGCCTCTGCCTCCCGAGTGCTGGGATTAAAGGTGTGCGCCACCACCGCCCGGCTCCTGATTTTTTTTTAATCAGGCTGTGGTAGCCAAGGCTAATCTTAATATCATGTTCCTTCTGCCTCAGCCTCCCAAATGCTGGAATAACAGGCATATACTATAGTGCTTGTCTATTAATGATTTTTAATGCGTGCTTTATTTTTCCTTAGAATTCACTTCTATAAAATGGCCAATCTAACATATTTTCCCCTCAGTTCATGCTTTCATTATTTTCTTTATAATAAAAAGAAAGCATTTACACAGTCACATGAAACCTAGTGTGTTTTCAGTGGCTGGTGCGTAATACTAATTGTGATATAGTTCTTATTGACTTAAGGGGGAAATTTCGTGCTTTTAAAGGGGAATTTTATTAACAGAAAACACTAATTTAGGTAAGATGCATCAAAGTAACCTTTACTGGAAGGACCACAGTATATTACTTTTATGTTCTCCTTTGATTAAGAAGACTGTCATTAATGATATTTTTTCATTATTAAAATTCTTATACTAGAGAGACTGTATTGGAAAGCCTAGATAATTTATTGTTTTTCTCCTTTTGTTAAGTTATACATGTTCATTGTCCTAGTCCTAGTCACCATATCATAACTATCTCTGTGAAGCAGATCTAATGGTTGTTGGCATCTAAATATTGGTAGAACATTAGACTTGGGTCAATTATTAAGAAATACTGAAATTAACATATAAGAGCCACTAGGGAAAAACCACGTATAACCATAACCATCACCATCTGTTAAGCCACAGATATCAATTACATGGTATAAAATTGTTGCTACTGAAGAGGAGACTTCACTTAAGATTTTGCCTAGTGCCTTGGGGAGGAACCAAAATTAACTTGGATGTGGACCCTTTCACAAAGCCCTGGGGCATATGCTTACTATGTTGATAAAGGTCTAAATGTAGGTAGTACTGAACAGCATATGTTGAGAGCTGGGGAGGCAGAGCTCATTAATTTTCAGACATGTTTCTCAAATACTGAAATGGGGAGAAATTGACAGGAATAAAGGGGTGAGGAAGGAGAAGGGGAATAATTGTTGCATAAGTGGTTGGTCACAGGGTCTTGTATTCTCTAGACGGGACAGTATCAGTTTTATAGAGAGGAATATCAAGAGGCCAGAGGCCATCATGAGGGCAAAAACAGAGGAGAAATAAGAATAAACAGGTTTTTTAGGGGAAACACACGAGGTTTCAGGGATGGAGCAGTTCTAGATGATGAGACCCCAAGGGATGAGTATGGAGGTTTTCCAAAAGGAGTGGAAGTACAGATTAAGATAAAGGAATGGTGGAGTCTAAATGTATTATTCTTAGACTTTAAGAATGTACTGTGACTAGAGAAACGCTCGGAAGGACCCCTGGAGAATCCTGGTGCTTGTGTGGGCATTTTATGGTGATGACTTTTCTTCTAGTTCTGTCTCCCTCATGCTGTGAACTTTTCATAAGTGCTCTTGTAGGGAAATCTGTCTTTAGTAAAAATATTATCTGCCTCTTCCCACTTTCAAAGAAAAGGAAGGAAAACTACAATAACTGGAAAACATGTTTTAAAATGTAGATTTCTTGAATGTACTTGACCCTGCCTGTCTTAAGATGCGATTATGATTTCATAAAGCAAAACATGAGAAACTTTATTTCTGTTTACTTACTTTCTGGTTTAGCATGTAAGGGACTCAGCCTGAAGTTCAACAAAATAAAGAATAGAGTTTTTATTGAGGCTAAAACTAGCCTGGCAGATAATTTAGTTATGTTATACTAATGTTGTTTTAATATGGCTTCATGTTTGGGCCTCAGGTACAAATCGAGTGGAGAGATGCAAGGCACAGGAGTGTGCCTCTTGAGTTATTCTTCATTTTGGTGACCTAGAAACCCTGTCACTATCCTCAGGACAGTGCAACAGAATATCCCTTGTGTCCTTTCTCCAAAACATCACTCTCTTTATCCCTATTGTTTTGTAAATGAGAAAGAAAATAATGCATTCTCTAATGCTCTAGTAGATAGTATCCTCTCTGTGAATGGTCTTTTGCTAGATTTCCATTTGAACAGATGTTTTTTTCTCCTTAGTTGAAATTTGGGAGGATCATAAGACCTAGTTTCATTAAAAAAAAAGTTATTTTTCCTCCGTAGACTCTCAGGTGGTACTAAAAGAAAAAATAAGTCTTAAGAAATTTTTATTTACTTATTTAGCTTTTTCTTTTTATGAGTTAGTCCTTGTTTCTGGTGACCCAGAACTTCTTGTCCTGTCCTCAGGAGCTTGTAATAAAATATTCTCAGTATACCTAAACAATATCCTCCTTGTCCCCATTGCTTCCAGACAGATAGATATCAAAGTATTGCTATACAGTCAGGTAGACTGAATTCTGTCTGTGACATATTTTTTCTTAACACTGACAATATGGATGTTTTGCAAAGTGCTCAAAGTCATTTTCATTTTTATAAAAATAATTCACACATGATATAATGATACTTGTTTGTAATCCTAGCATTCATGAAGTAGAGGTAGGAGGATCATAAAACGAGGTCATCCTAGGCAACGTAGGGAGTTCCAGTTTAGCCCTGGGCCACATGACCCTATCTTAAAAAGGCCTCCTCTCAAAGTTCATTGAATCTATGTTGAAATATACATTATTTTATATAATCATGAATATTAATTTAATAATTTCACCTTTAAATTTAGTGTAGGATAATTTACATGTTTCTAATGTTTTTCATGGTTATACTTTTAGTGGCTATATGGTATTTTATAATGTTGATACATAATAATTTGTGTAATTTTCACTTGCTATAAAAATTTTATGTATTTGAAAAGTTAGGCTTCAGGTGAGTTTTTGCTCTGAAAATTAGGCTACTAGATTAGTAAATGTACAATTTCTGAAATTACTGGTACTTTGTTCTAGTTTCTTTTAGATCCGTTGTATTAATTTGTAGTTATAACAAGAATGGGATCATCTTCCTGTTTTACCACTCAGTAGTATTGAGTATTCGAACCTGTCCCCCTCCCCCTACATTTATAGTTGTTTATTGGTGTATGTGCAGGTATGTGTATACATGTACATGGAAACCAGAATACAACTTAAGGACGGGATTCCTTAGGTGCTATTCACTATTTTTATTTATTTATTCGTTTATTTATTTATTTGAGATTGGATGTGTCACTGGCTTGGGATTCACTCTGTATGTTTATCATGTATGATACATGTGGAATGGCTGAATTGAGCTAATTAATATGTGTATGACCTCATATAACTTTTCTTGTATTGAGAATGCTTTAAAAATCAGTGTTTTTCAGTGGTCTGGTATATAGTTATTAAGTCCAGTAATTATATTGTACAATAAACCTCTTGATGGACCATTAAAAAAGTGCTATTTATAAAGTTGCATAGAAGAAAAAAAAACTTTCCACCCTCTGTTTAATACTCACTGGCTGCCTGTTTTGAGATTGTGTTAAGAATAACAGATACTAAATGCTTATAATGCTTTACAAGTTATTTTTTCATTTAGTCTTTCTTAGTTCTGGTGGGAGATTCCATTACTGTTCCCATTTACAGATGAAGAAGCTGAGGCTTGAGTACTTGTGTAACTTAGCATTTTTGCTGACGTAGAGGCCATACCAGGATCTGAGTCCAGCCTAATTCCATAGTTTTGTTCATAATCCTGTTTGTATCATAGTGTATGCTTTGTTTTTCAAATCCTATATTGGTGCTTATTTTATGATCAGAAAGTTCATACATAGTTGATAAAATGAGTGTTCTTCATACTGAAATAAAATACACCAACTCAGAGCTAAAGGAGAAATTGCTAATTACTGAAAAACATATTTCTTTCTCTGTACTTACCTAATGAAATTCAGATTTTGTTTTTAAATAGGTTAAAGAAAAAATATATAGGTTTCTAAGTTTTTATTGTCTCTTTCTTTTGCAGAGATGCTGTTCAGTTAAATGTGATTGCTACGCGACAGCTTATTCTCCTTGCACAGCAAATGAAGAATCTGGAAGTGTTCATGCATGTGTCAACAGCATATGCCTACTGCAATCGAAAGCATATTGATGAAGTAGTTTACCCTCCCCCTGTAGATCCCAAGAAGCTGATCGATTCTTTAGAGTATGTTTGGATTTATACACATTGCTTTTAATCCTAAGACTTTGGATCCAAATTTATCATTTTTCCTCTCCCTCTGTGCTATGCACACACATGTGCTTGCATGTGTTTATCTCTTCCTGTATTCAACAACTGACTGCTTATCTGTTGCCCTATTGTACAGGTTTATGTCTGTTGGTGAGTTCAATGTAGAGTTTTCCCTTTGCATCAGGTAATTTATCCATGTGTTAGAAGTTTTGTTTTTTAGGTAGTCATTTCTAGCTCCTGTGGAGACCAGACACCAATAACTGCTTAGCCATGAATTTCTAGTTTACTAAAGGATCCTCTCCTCTGTAGTGTACAATACATATAGAGAGGCCTTTCATTTTAAGAGAATCAGAGGATTTCTAGTCCTTTGATTCATACTCCCTCATATTGTTACCATCTTTCTAAGGATGGGGATTCCTATCAGCAGTTGTTATATGAGCAATATTTGTATTTGGTAGATGTAGAGGATGATGTGAAATACATATAACACAACTAGCCTTCACTTGCTTTTTTGTCTAACTTTCCTACCATAAAAAGTGCGAGCTCTTTTCTCTTTTTTTGGATTATAATTACAGAAGCATTCCAACAACCATTACATCTTTGTATATTTGTTTTCAGACTATCTGGATTTTTTGTCTTATAGTTTTTGTTTTTCCTTTGCCCCATCTTTCCTCACAGATAATTCCATTTACCTTTGATTCCCACCTTCTCTTGATTTTTCCTGAAATAAACACACAAAACATTTTTGTTTTGTTTTGTTTTGTTTTTTCAAGACAGGATTTCTCTGTATTGTTTTGGAGGCTGTCCTGGAACTCGCTCTGTAGACCAGGCTGGCCTCGAACTCACAGAGATCAGCCTGCCTCTCCCTCTTGAGTGCAGAGATTAAAGACGTGCTCCACCAACTGCTGGCCCACACATAACATTTTAAGAAAGGTTTTTCATAGTGAGGGAATGGGTTGTAAGAAAATCAATACCAGAGATGACTGAGACATTTCTTGTAAGAATTACCTACTTTTTTTTTCCCTTTTTTTATATCATTTTTTATTTTAATTTTAAATAGCTTGTTTTACATGTCAATCTCAGTTCCCTCTCCCTCCCCTCCTCCCGCACTCCCCTCCCCCCCCACCCTCCCACCCTATTGCCAAATCCTTCCACATAGGGGATATCTAGGGTCTGTCATTTCACTCTGGGTAGGGATTACCTACTTTTATTTTATGCCTCTTATATAGATGCTCCTAAATATATACCTCAGTTTCTCACAAATCAATAAAAGTGTTTATGATTTTGGAGAAAAGTGAAGTTAATGAAGCTTATTACTTTTTGACTTAGTCTTGACTTAAGCAGGCATCTAAGGAAATGAGAAGAACTTGTAACCTAAATCTTTTTTTCTCCTTTCCTGTCTTTCAAAGGAATCTGTCTAGTAAATGATTTGTGAAATTGCTGTGTAAACTCAGTAGAAATAAGGTTTACTTACCTGAGTTTTTTCAGGTATTTTATTTTGTTTTGTTTTTGTGGAGCTGGGGGCTTATTTTCCCGCCTATCAACTACCCATCCTATCCAGTTTTCAAAACTCAATCTCCATTGTAGTTTTTTTCAAATTGGATAGCTATTTGCCTATATTTTAATATTGTTATTCTTCCATATACACAAAGTACTTCCATATGTGGTAGCATTTTAAGCTTCCCTAGTTATTATTGGTATCATCGGATTGTGACAATATGCATAATCTAATTGTATGCTTAATAACATAAATAAGGAACAAATATCAAAAACAAGGACTTAGTTAGTACCTTAGAGAAAAATGAGGAAAGACTGTTGACACCACCTATTTGGTCATGGTCCTTTTATAGGTCATCTTCAGAAATGCTGAGGTCATTAAAGAGATGACTGCGTTGTAGGTTGTTAATTGAATTTTTATAACATGCTTTAATTTTTATTATTAATCCTAGTATTTGTTAATCTCACTTGAGGATATACAATCCCAGTGGTTCATCCTAAATATTTAGATTATTAGACCTTTTATATTAAATGTAAATACATGTGAATAGCAGATATGTATATTTAACCTTCTACTCTATTACATTGTAATACACAGATATGTAATTTCTAATGAAACATTTGGGACCTGATTTTGGAATTTATTTGGACTTTGGAAAGGAACTCTGATTTAAGTACTAAGTGATAGTGAATTAGTTCATTTTGGGTTTTAGTAGCATCCTGATCAAAGACATGAAATACTGAATGTTTAAACTGAATAATACTTTCTAAAGATCCTTAATTTGCTTGTTAGTTAAGTTTACTATCTCACATACGATTTATGAAAGGACTATTGGTCCTTATTTGATATAGTAGTTGCAGGTAGTAGACTTGTGATTCATATTTAAAGATACTACCTATTTTTCCCTGTTAGTAAAAGTTATTGTGAAAACCAGATGTGGTGGCACATATCTTTAATCTCAGACTTAGGAGGTAGAGGCAAGTGAATTTGTGAGTTCAAGGTGAACCTGGTCTACAGAGCAAGTTCTAGGACAGCCAGGGCTACACAGAGAAACCCTGTCTCAAGAAACCAAGAAAAGAAAAGGGTTCTTATAAAACTGTTTCAGTCAGAGTAACAGATAGGTTTGAGCAAAGTCCAATTAAGTTGGTTTTCATCTATAATAAAATATTTGGAATTTTTAAATGTAATTTCTTTGTTTGCCAGATGGATGGATGATGGCCTAGTAAATGATATCACACCAAAATTGATAGGTGACAGACCTAATACCTACATATATACCAAGGCATTGGCAGAATATGTTGTTCAACAAGAAGGAGCAAAGCTAAATGTTGCCATTGTAAGGCCATCGATTGTTGGTGCCAGTTGGAAAGAACCTTTTCCAGTAAGCTCTTTAAAATGTAATAATTTTAATAATTGGGGTTTAGAGTTTTAAGTTATAACTGTATAATGAGCTGGGATATGATTTAAGAGCTGAATGTGCTTTACCATGGCAGAGGTGGTGAACATAGGAAGAGGTAATATTATGCTTCTGTCTGTATGGAATGTAGATCAACAGTTTTAAATTCTAATTGAAAATCAAATTGAAAGTTCTTACTGTGTCTTCAATAAAGGAGACCGTGATTTCATCTGTTTTCATTGCCAAAACAAGTCATGGGTGAAGTATATCTTTTCATGTGTAGATGACAAAGCTAAGAAAAGTATAAGAGATTTCTTTGGTAATTTGCTACTAAAGAGGAAAAAAAATGTGTTATGATACTTTTAAATCCTCAGAATAAGAGAAGGCAAAAACAAAAGTCAGAAAGTAAGCTGATTCAGAAAAAAAACAAAACAAAAACCTGAGTTCTGTATAAATAGCAGTAAGTAATAGCCTGCCCCATTGTTGTTTTGATAATTACTCTGTTTTCTTCTGATTTACTTACTAAGATCAAGGAACACATATTATTTTCTCTTAATCATGATACCTCATTAATAAATAGTGTAAAATCAAAGGCAAACTCTTAATTTAGGAAAAGCTATGGAAAGTATGCGCTGTTTTTTTCCCCCCTTTGCAGAGATTTAGCAGAGCTAGGTAAAACTTTAAAAATGCTTTGATGTAGTCATTTATGATCCCAGAGGAAACTTTTGGGACAGTTTTGGGGGGACTAAGACCAGTATGCCTCATGGAATGTAGATCTTTCTTATACGTTTTGGGAAAAAACTACAAAGTGTGTTTGAAATAAGCACTTTGAAATAATAAATCTACTTCAGTGGTAGTTTTAACCTCTTTTTTTTTCTTCCTCAATTTTTGTCATTAGGGATGGATTGATAACTTTAATGGACCAAGTGGTCTCTTCATTGCGGTAAATAAACTTTTTGATTGACTTGTATAAAATTTCCTGTATCTTTATTACGTATGTGTGTGTATACACATTTTGGCTATGTATCTGAAGGTGTTGTTTTTAATTTCAAAAAAGGCAGGGAAAGGAATTCTTCGAACAATGCGTGCCTCCAACAATGCCCTTGCAGATCTTGTTCCTGTAGATGTAGTTGTCAACACAAGCCTTGCTGCAGCCTGGTATTCCGGAGTTAATAGGTATATGAGGCAACAATGTTGCTTATTAACTGTGTGGTAACTGAGAGGGAAAAGGAGCTTTTCATCTTAATTCCTTAGTCCTGATTGTGCCATATTAGTAAAGTGTCCTATTAGGATATAGGAAATACCATGGTCTTTTCTAAGAGCTGTACAGTGGAGGCAGTAACATGTGGAGCCATCAGTGTTGATAAATAATGTATTTACAGAATTTACAAGTTTGTTAGGAGCTAAAGGGTGGGTCCTGAATGATCATTTAAACCAAACTAAAATAACATAAACTTGAGTTGAAATTCATAAGAGATCCTTTTTGTGTGTCAACCATGGCATATAATCTCTGAGCATCCTTTTATGGTAATAGTAGTATTTATAACTAAAACCTAAACATTTAAGAAATAATCTCTTAGAGGTACTTTTTGTATAATACAGTAAAGGTAACCAGTGTCACCATGTCTTCCTACTTTGATGGTACATAAGACTTAAGATACTTTTGGCTTCTCTTATGTTTTTTTGCTTTCATCTTTTTCTTTTCAGACCAAGAAACATCATGGTGTATAATTGCACAACAGGCAGCACTAATCCTTTCCACTGGGGGGAAGTTGGTATGATTTTATCTATGTTTTTGAATGTTAGAACATAAAGCATTCATTGTATTTTTAATGGGGCATTAGGACCACCGAGTTACAAATTTATTCTTATTTTAGTTGCTGTTTGAGAATTACTTCCAATCCTGCCTTGTGGCTCACCTTTAAAGTTTCACACTATAAGAATAGCCTGATGTATGTCTCCACTCACCTAGTAAGATCCTTGATGTTCCCTTGTCATCTTTAACACCCTCATAAAATACCTGTGACTTGGGGGTCAGTTCTTTTTTCTAACTGATGAGTACACTCACGCCTGATGTTGTCAGTCTGTAGGTAATGTTTACACCTCTTAGAGTAGGTGTATCAGTTGGTCCCCAGAGTTGTAAATGAAGGAGTTAGGAAGTAGGATACATTTTGCCAGAATATATTCTGCTAAAGTCAAAGATCTATGCAGGTAGTACATTTGTTCTAAAAAGGGCTAGTATAATTTGAAGACTATTGAAAGCAAACTCATTTTAAATTGAGTCATATAAATATTTATTCCATTGCTTTTTATAATAGATCTATTTTATTTCTAATTGAATTTTTGCTATTCTAAATTTTGTTTTTAAGTAAATTGGCTCTGGGAATAGTCTACCCCTTTCCCCTTTCCTCACCCATCCACAAAGTCAAGCATTCTACCACTTCATTCCTAACCCTTATTTCTGTTTTTATTTTTTTTTCCTGTTTTTTTATTTTTTTTAGATAAAGTCTCACTATATAGGTCAGACTGGCCTGGAATTTGCAGTATAGTCCAGGCTGGTGTCCAACTATCTGTCTTCCTGCCTCAGCCTCCCAAGTGCTGGGCATCACCACACCTAGCTACCTTAAAGTAATCTTACTTGACATTTGTATTAGGGTTTTTCTGTGACATTTGTACTTAAATTTAAAGACTCAGTGTTGGGATATATAAGAAAAAACTCTAGAGTGATTTCACAGTGTTTTAAATCATGATCCTTCAGGGATATCAAAGCATCTTATGTGAGGGAGGTTTTATAGACTTTTGTTGTACCATACAGTTTTGTGAAAAATCAAATTCTACATTATTCTTCAGTGAATACCTCATTATATGTTTCCATCAAAATATTAACATAGCAGATACCAAGTTTGACTGTGTTGATGTTAAATAACCTAAATAAACTACAGCAGAGGTTAATTTGGGGTTGTTGTAAGCTTATATGATATGTGTTAATTTGAGTAAATCATTCATAAGCAAAGGATGATGATTTTCCTTTTCTTTTTTAAGTAAGTACAGTAATAAGAATCTGGAAAGAGGAACAGAAAGAAAGAAGCTATCGTGAGAGGTGAAATATAGAGAGTGACATTATAAACTGACCTAGGTAAAATATTAACAAGATTTTCAGGGTGAATTTTAATAAAAATTCATTCATTTAGTTAAAATACTGACAGTTTTTAAACTACTTGGAATCAGCAGTCTAATGCCCATTTCTATTAGTTGTAGAGAGTAGAAAAGCTTGTTTTTTAAATGAATGAACTCTGAATCTTTGGTAGAATATTTTGCATTGTAAAAACATTTTTTTCAAAACTTTATTACATGGTTATTATCAAAGCTGTTACACAACTTTTCTTCCTCAGAATACCATGTAATTTCCACTTTCAAGAGGAATCCTCTCGAACAGGCCTTCAGACGGCCCAATGTAAATCTAACCTCCAATCACCTTTTATATCATTACTGGATTGCTGTAAGCCATAAGGCCCCAGCATTCCTGTATGATATCTACCTCAGGATGACTGGAAGAAGCCCAAGGTAATGGTGACTAGCTCTGTCTTATCTGTTCCTCTGACTGTTAAACAACCCATGCTTAACACTGAAATGCTATTAACTCTGTATCTGTTCATGCTTATGATAAGGCGTAATGGCCTTTGTGAATGAGAAGACTTGAATTTAAGACATTGTCAGAAAATCAAAGGTAGTGCTGTAAGTCACTCTATTTATTCTAAAGTTTGGGTGATAAATTGCTGTCATATGTTGAATTCTAGGTCTAACTTTAGGTGCTTTTCTGAATAACAAATAATATTCAAAATGCTTTAACGCTTATTTTTCCTACAGGAGATTATATAAATCATTACTTCAAGATGAATCCTTTAAACCAAGTATTCAGGCACCCTTATGTTAAGTTCTATTCCAACAACCTAATGCTCCATTATTGGAAGGGTGTCAAACATACAGTACCTGCATTATTGCTCGATCTTGCACTCAGGTTGACAGGTCAGAAACCGTGGTAAGAAGAATAGCAGTAATACACTATGTATTGGTAAGGTGGTGGAAGCTTGCTGGAGAGACATCATGTCGCTAGCATGAGCATACCTTTAGAATTACTAACCTGATTAAGCACAATCACAATCAAGATGCCAGGACATTACCTAGAAATTGGAGATGTTTGGACACTAAGAATGGATCTCATTTTATGAGGTCATTGATTCTTCAAACACCCATAAAAATAGGAAATGTCCTACCTCAGGATTGTCATTGTTATTATAAGCTGAAATTGAGTCCCTTTCCCTCTCCCTTAAAAACTTAGGGGTGAGTTTTTATAAGGGATTCAGGGGAAATTTTTTTACTTTAAAGTAGATGGTTCAGTTTCATAAGAAAAATATAGGATGCTTCTAGAAAATTACTTGAAATATATTAGTTACCTATTCAGCTTATAATATGGTAATTACAGTTTTTGGCTAATGTTCTAGTTTTAAAAAGTTGACAAACAAAAATTTTCTACTTTCTTATAGTTAGTTGTAATATCCTTTCTTTCTCCTTTCCTTTTTTTTTCCATTGAAACCCTTCAAATAAAGTTCTCCTACTGTCTTTACCACATAGTGAAATATACTACAAAATGTTTTTTTTTTAAACCACATTGGCACCTATGATTGGCAAATTCAGGATTTGAGTATTTATGTATAACGAAGAAGATGATTCCAGGACTTCCATCAGCTGCTGAAAAAATAAAAGTGAGGTATTTGCCAGTTACAATATCTCAGGATCTGATTTAACCATAGGAAATTTTGGTAGATTGGATAGTTCAGGATGTTTATAACTATATATTCACTATTGAACTAAGGGGCAGGGTTGAATAGAGCAATTTACAGAACAAACATTTCAATATTTCTGCCATGATTTGCAAATAGTCTTGCTATGTTGGAATTTTCTCATGGCTAAAAATCAGGTGAAATTATAAATTAGGCCAGAAAAAGACAAAACTGGTTCCAAAATGTAAAATAGATTTAACCCATTTTGTTACCTCATAAAGAAAATGGGCTAATTCCCATTAGGTAAAAGTTAATTTTTATTAATTTTTTGAGAATTTCATATAAGAAGTCAATATATTTGACCATATTCACCTCCAACTTTCTGCATCCACTCTACCCTTCCTCACTTAAAATTCTTTTTAAAAACATAATCCACTGAATCCAGTTTATGCTGTCTACAGGTAGCATGGGTGTGGGACCATCCACTGGCACATGTTGGACCTACCCAGGGTCACATGCCTGAAAACTGACTCTCCTTTTACTGACTGATATCAACTATCAATAACTTCTCAGCTAGGGGTGGGGACACATGAGATTTTTTCCCCCATCCGTGTTAGAATGTTGACTCACTTGATCTTGTGTAGGTCTGGTGAAGGCAGCCATAGCTGGGAGCTCAATAAACTTAATTATAATAAGGGAAATACTTATAGTTACTATGCAATACAAAGAAGATTCTGTGGTATATAGCAACTACCTTAGATTTAGTGATTAAAATAGCCATTATTTCATTGTCTTGTGTTGTTCTTTTTCCTTTGGGATCAGGAATTTGCAGACAAATTAGCTTGTATGGTTTTAGTTTAAGACTTTTCCTGTGATCAGTTGGAGATGGAAAAGCTGAGGTCTGATAGGGGGAATGTGGGGCTGGGTTAGCCAGGGGCCAGGTTTCACTGTCTCTTGTCTCATCAGAATTACACTGTGTAGGATCTTTTTAAGGCCTAATGGTTGCCTCTAAAAATGGTAGCTGAAGTGATGGAACAAGTAAGGTAGCAGCTAGAAATCTTGCACTATCACTTTAACTTTGTTCTTTGAGATAGAATCTCATGTAGTCAAGCTGGCCTCCAATTGAAAGCCAGAATCATAGGTAAATGCCACCATGCCTGGCTTGCTTCTTTCATTTAGTCACAAGCAAGTCAGAAATCCTCTTAGGTGTAAGGAAAGGGATGCTCTGAAGAGCAGTCAGACCCTGGAAATGAGCAAGTGAGAGGAATGGCTTTCAGCCATTTTTGGAAAAGTACAGTCTGTAACAGTTAACCTTCTGGCCAAGAGAATTCACATTCTTCTACTCTGAACAATGCAGTTAATTCTTTTCCTTTACAGATCCCTATGGTATCAGCTGGAGGGTTTTGCCATTTAAATTTGATCCAGTTGCAGATGAGATTGTTTAGAAATGATATTGCAGTTGACACTCCTCATGAAAAGCTATGAAACAAAGCAAGTTAGTAGCTGCCCTATACTCTACATATGCTGAGAGAAACATAAGATAATGGCTTCAGACAGTGTTGTTAAAAAGAGAGAAAATGGGGAGGCACACAACAAACACTGTTCTGTAACAGTTCTCAGTTACAGTCCAGGTATATGTTGATAGCTAGACTCATTTCTACACTGAGAATTCTCCATTCTTTTTTTTCCATAAAAAATGGCACATGTAAGATTGAACAGCCTACTAATCCTGCTTCGTGCCCATAAAATGTTAGACTCCAGGACGGGTCAGGAAACTTTTCTTATTTAGGGCCATCTTGGTAATAGCTTAACATTAGGTTAGCATCTGTCTCCCACTGTCCTGTTGAGTCTGTTGCTACTTCTTACTCTCCTAAGAGATGACCTATTGTCTTCCTTTTAATACATTCTTAGTAGACTGGTTAACTGGTGATTGCAAGGGTAGCTAGCATCAATGGAGTGGTCCACTCAGCTTTCAGTGTAAGAATCTTGAGAATTCCCAGCTTTCCCATGTGCTTATCCCAGCTTGCTGTGTGCAGCGATTTTTCTGTGCAGTGAACTATGCTGAATGCTTTTCAGTTGTGTAGGCACTGCAGCTATGCTTCCTCTGCCTACCAATGTTCTGCCATTATGGGCTCAGGACTTGCATGCTACATATGTGTGCGTGAGTGACAGTCATGCGCTGCCATAATAAATTTATTTTGTAAAGAATTCCTGACTAACCTTTTACATTTCTCCGAATTTCAGACATTTCACTTTCTAAGATCAGCTTTGTCTTCATGCAAGAAATTTTGACTAGATTAAATTTTAGGAGTGTAGGTTTGGTTTTTGTTATCTTCCATGTTATTGTAGCTTCAAGCTGTGTAAAGTGTCCTCTAATTTTCTTTTCATGGCCCTTTCAATTTTTAGCAAATGATCTGAAAGGTCATAATAGAGTCTGCCACCTAATTCTAAAATGCCACAAACCTCAGCTTGTATTATTGCTGGTCCTTCCCAGTACTAAGATGTGTTACTCTGTTGCATGACAAGTCACCATGTAACCATAGTGTCTTAAAGCAAGTTATTTTAAGAGCCACAACTTTAGTGAGTAAGGAATTCTAGAGAGGTTTAGTTGAGTGGCTTTGATTAAAATAAGTCTTTAACCTGTGGTCAGATAGGGACCAGGACGTATACACTAGAGGAGAGTCATTAAGGTAAAAGAAGAGTGCATAGTAGCTAGGCAGCTTTTTCTCTTTGTGTAGAATTCGACTCTTCATGTGTTGTCTGCACATGGTCTAGTTTGAGCTTCCTTGCAGCATGACAGCCTCAGGGGTTATTAGACAGCATACAAGGTAACTGAAATCTTCAAAGATGTGAAGGCAAAGAGCAAGGCAGACTATTCTTAACACCGTTCTTACCTAGCATCTGAAGTCAACACCTCATTCTAATAGTTATAGATGTTTTCCCATTGTGATGTGAACTGTAAATTACCTTGTAGGATGGGAGGTAATAGTCTTACATGTGTCAAAGCAGGAATAACCTGAGACCTCTGTAAGTGTATAATATAAAAGCAATAAGGAGTAATGTATGGCGCTGTGGACTGTGATTTGAACACTCAGGAAGCTGAAACAGGAGGATTGAGGCAATCCTGGGCTACATAGTTCCATAGACTTGCATAGAATGATTGAAACCCTGTCTCAAAAAAAAAAACAAACAAAAGTAAATAAAAGCAACAAGGGATGTAAAATTATACTTAGGTAAGGTACACATTAACTAAAGTCTTACAGTTTATTCTTCAGATTCTTCAGATATTTGCCTAATCAAGAGTAAGTGAACATTATGTTACACCTTCTATTGACCCTAATGTAAGACCTCATTCTACATTAAACTAATATTGTTAAGTTCATGTTCAGTTTACTCATTTACATGATTTTGAGTGTCAGATAAAATCTGACTTACTATATCTTAATACGTGGATTCTTAATTAAAGGGGAGACAAGGGTGGAATCATCATAAATTACTCTAGCATTATATCATTGTTGCAAATAGCATATTTTAAAAAGTTGCTTTATGTTTTTTGTTGTTCAGTTTAACTTCTCTGAACCTTACATTTTTCATCTAAGTGACTCTCACCTGGGGGCATTTGACAATATTTGGAGTTGGTCATCACAATGGGAGGGGTGTACTTCCCCTCAGCCTCCAGTATACTAAGGCCTTGGGTGCTGCTATGTATCTTAGTACATAGGTACTTTTATTTGTGAAAGATAAGGTTAAGAAACCTTAGATTAAATGAACATTATGATATGGGCTTACTGTAAATTGTGATAATTATATTTTATAAGTTGTCATAGTATAGAATAAATACATTCTCAGCAGGTACCAGACAATATAGTTGCAAAGCATTCAATATGACATATTGAACCAGAGTGATGGTGCAGTTTAAGTATACTTTACCTTCCTAATAATATTGTCTGTAAATTTCTCATGTATATGAATTTTCAGCTCTTCCAACCTCTTTGCTCTGTTTTGTTTTTTGTTAGTTTGTTTTGTTTTGGAGACAGGATTGAGTTATAAACTAGTGTAGCTCCACATTCATGGCAGTTCTCTGGCCTTACCCTCCCAAACATGCATGAGCTACCATGCCTGGCCTCTCTTGGTTTTTTGTTTTAATAAGAAATACTCTTTGAATGGCTAAATCAAGGGTTGATTTTATGGCAACTATCATCACTTGAATGAATCTACACATGAGATTAGGCAAGAATGTACAGTTCAGGAGTCAGGAAGGAAAATGTTTCAGTAAAATACTAATTGGAAAATGGTGTGAGCTATGCATGTTTGGGATGAAATTAATGTATATTACACTGCCTAGGATACTGTATTGATTGTTCTAGATTTGTTATATCTTTAAAGAAAAAATTGTTTAGAACTATCTTGTTCATTAAAGCAACTTTCCCTTAGTTTTATCTATATATTTTTAAAAAGTCTGTTTCTAGATACAGCTTTGAATGCTTGATGATTCTTTTCATGTTTAATGAAGAATTTAATTTGGAATTCTTTAGTGAATGAAATAGTTTTTCTTAACATTGCCCATATTGCCTTATTTCTTTCAAGTATTTTATTCAGGGGTTCTTTCTAAATGTATTGAATGTTATCACAGTTTCTTGGCTAATGATACTGCTTTTATTTTCTTCATCATTTCTCATATTCTGCCATGTCTCCCGTTTGTAAAGCCACTAATTTGAGGTCTTTCTAAATTTCATATACTTTGAGCTAATCCTTGTTGTGGGAATGTAAATGGATTTCTTATATTTCTTCATGAATTACTTCTTTGATTTTTTTTTGGTGTATATTTGATTCAGAAAGCTCTCTTAATTACTACATGGATTAGTGCTTTGATATCAATGACTTATGCAAGTGATAATAAATAAAATGTCAGATAAGATTAAAGTTCTAATGCCCTTTAAGAAGAAACAAAAAACTCATATACTGTTTTTTTTTTTTTCCTCCAAGGAAGGGCATGGGTGAGGCCTGAGGAGTTGAGTATTTCACAAAGTTCTTGTCATTAGTCATTGATTTCATAACATATCCAGATAATCGGGAGTGGTACCAATCACTGTTGAAGAGAAAGTTCTTGTATTTTTCTAATAGAGTTGACTAAATGGCAAAGGAATATTTCTGTATATATGCTTCAGTGATGCTGAAGTGCTGGGATTGTAACATAGTTGTATAATCTGTGTTAAGGATTCCCACTAATACAGGTTAGCTAAATAGCAAAGGGAGACTAAACTGAATCCTTTTGCCTAGTGTGATACATAGAAAATTTGAATTTAAACTTTAGTATTGCATATCCTTTGAGAATTAATTCTGTGTCAGCAGAACTTTGTGCAGTTGATAGTAAATTTTTTTTGCTGCTACTTTCAGCTTGTTTTTCCATTTTGGATTTGTAAATTATTCTCCCAAGATACAGAAATATTCTGATTCTCTGCTGGTTTGGTACACTTACTAAATTACAGTTGGGAATGAGTGGTTGGGACCCTGGTGATTATGTTTTTTTTTTTTTTTAACCCAGTCTCTATACAATATGAACCTCTTGATTTTTCTTGAAACACAGGATGATGAAAACAATCACTCGTCTTCATAAAGCCATGGTATTTCTTGAGTATTTCACAAGTAACTCTTGGGTTTGGAATACTGATAATGTCAATATGTTAATGAACCAACTAAATCCTGAAGATAAAAAGGCAAGTATTTTATGTTTTGGATTAGAAAATATAACCAGTAAGCAGCTTGAAATCTAGGCATTTCCTACAACCATCACACAAGAAAGTCGATCTAATTATTTTTTCTCAGTATTGTAATCTTTATTATTTATAGGGAGATACAATTTTCTTTGTTCTAGAATTGATAAAGTATTTGGAAATATCAAAGGCTTTTAGTACAATTGAGTTGTTAATTCTTTCTTCCCACAAAGTTAAGTTCAAAGAGAACTGTAACATCTTATGGGTTTTATGTTCAGGATAGCTTGTTTTCTCTGAACTTTTTGGGAGGTGCGCTCCAATTCCTTTTTTTATATTGTATGCTCTTTGCCATTTCCCTCTGCATGTTTGGAAGTTAAAGTGTATTCCTTCTAAAGTTACCTCAGATTTTTTTTGTTTTGTTTTGTTTCGTTTTTTTTTTTTTTTTTTGGTTTTTCGAGACAGGGTTTCTCTGTAGTTTTGGAGGCTGTCCTGGAACTCACTTTGTAGACCAGGCTGGCCTCGAACTCACAGAGATCCGCCTGCCTCTGCCTCCCGAGTGCTGGGATTAAAGGCGTGCGCCACCAACACCCGGCTTGTTTTGTTTTTTGAGCCAGTATCTCATTATGCAGCCCTGGCTGTCCTGGAACTCACTATGTAGACCAAGCTGGCCTCAAACTCACAGAGATCTGCTTGCCTCTGTCTCCTGAGTGCTAGATGAAAGGCCTGGGCCGCTATTGCCCAGCTACCTCATATTTTAGCGTCTTAAGTCAAATACATCCAGTTACCTCCTTTTAGAGGTATAGCAGTGTTAGGAATTAAACCTGGGGCCTTATTCTCAGTAGTTTCCTCCTTATGGTATTTAGAACCTGGAAATGGCAGTGATAGTACCTCCAGCTCTCCAACCATGTGTGTTTATACATTACTGCAGTTCTGTAATACTCCAGTTATTACACACACAATTAGGAGATAATTGCTCCAACGATTTTCATTCATAGAGCTTCTCTTTATTATCATTTTTTGTTGTGTCTGATGTGTTATCTAGAACACCAGAATATGGCTTAATTAGGAGAATGATCATAGTGAACTTTTAGTTTATGATTGTTCGTCAGTTTTTATTCACCCTAGTTTTTTTAAACACTATTTCAGCACATTATAGATTATTTTATATTCTTTCTACTTTGTTACCTTTGAAAAGTCAATTAGTTGTTTCCCCTGGCTCTTTTCTAGGTTTCTCACATTTGGTGTTCTGAAACTTTGTTTGGGATTTCTATACCTATAGCTGGATGTTTGAGATTTCTATTCCTGTAGCTGGGAAAATCCTTAAGCACTGTTTCTTTAGATGTAGCTATTTCTCTCTGGTCTTACCTTTTCACAGAATTGTTATGTGGTGGACCATGGTACCCTTAGGTTTTTAGCCCTAATTAAATGTTTGTTTTTGAACTAAAATGTTACTTAAATTCTCTACCAGCCAGTCAGTTATATTGAAAGTATTCCGTTGAGTTTTTAGAAAGTTTAGCTTAATCTTAGACATTTCTTCATAATTGCTCTAAATCCTCTTTCTTCAAGCTCACATTTAAATGATAGATGGTGTCTGATACTACTGTTGGGGTCCATACTACCTCACTTCCATGTTGTTGTTTTGCTAATCATTGTTCTCTTGTAATTTACATTCCTTGAGGTTTCTATTGAAATTTGCCTTTTTCTGTTCATATGGCAGAAAGAATGTTCACAGAACATTTGATCCTATAGCCCTGTCTTAGTTTGGGTTTTTATTGCTGTGAAAAGATACCCTGGCTACAATGACTCTTATAAAGAAAACATTCAATCGGGGTGGCTTGCTTACAGTTTGAGAGGTTCAGTTCATTATCAGGGTGGGGCATATTGGCAGCATGCAGGCAGGTATGGTTCTGACTACGTCTTGATCAGAAGGCTACAGGAAGTGGACTCATCACACTGAGAGCAAAAGAGACCTCAAGATCTTTCCTCTAAGTGACATATGTCCTCCACAAGGTCACACCTCCTCATAGTGCCACTCCTTTTGGGGACCATTTTCTGTTAAACCACCACAAGCCCCAAACTGAAAGTAAATATCCATCAACAGAAAAATGAAAAAAAACCCCACAAAACTCCAACAACTGTATATGTTGTTTGTGTAAAGTCTCAAATGAAAAAAATAGCATGTGGTGTTCTAGACACTGTTTTTGCAGATATTCTAGAATCCTCCTTCACTTATGTAGCCCTGGCTGTAGCCCTAGAAACAGGCCTAATTTATCAAAACCTGCAGATATTTTTAGGTTGGATTTTTTTGTGGCTTCTTCCTTTTCTTTTTCCCTTTTTATTATCTCCCTTGTCAGGCCTAATATGTAGCTTATTTGCTTAATGATTATTAAAGAGTAAGCACTCAGGTGAGGAACCTAGAATGTCATTACTCCTTGTTGTCTATCATACTTTTTCCTGTGTTCTCCCAGAGGTAACAGTTATCTTGAGCACTAAAGTAATTTTCCCTTTTGTGACTACATACAAATAACATTGTACAGTAACTTTTCATTTTTCTGTTGATGGATATTTTTTCAGTTAGAGACTATAGGATTAATTGTTCTGTGAACATTATTTATGGCACATGAACACGTCTTTGTAGAATGTGTGTCTAGAAATTGATCGATAGGGTATTACAATAAGCATTTCACAAATGGTTATATCCATTTATATCTGCTAGTGTATAAGAACTTCTGTTCTTCACAGTGCTTTGTATTTTAATTTTAATTCTTAATTTTAGCCACTTGTATGTGTGATGGTGTCTTGGTACCAGTTTGTATTTCCTACTAAATAAAATGTTTATATAGAAATAGTGATGTCAGTACTCATTGAAACATGGGCTAAGAAGATGAACAAGTTACAGAAAATAATTTGTAACTTCTTAAAACGTTCATAGGATGGAAGTCAAGTCTAGATTGAATTTGTGTTATTTACCAGATTTTTAAACATGTAGACTTTTGACAGCATACTCTAAAGAGGTCTTGGGCATCTTCATTTATTACTAGTAGAAATGTGTGGTGTGTCTGTCTTCAAGTTTATGATTAACTAATCTTCATCCTTATGTTTTAGGTATGTCTTGTAAGTAACCTAGAATTGTTGTTACAGTCTGATAAACAGACCCTTGCAGGTGCTGTACCTGTGAGCTACACCCAAACCTTAATTTCAGATTTCAATTTCTTAGTACTTCATTGTGTTACACCTATTGTAATTATCTTTGCTGTTCTCGTTTTGCCTTGTTTTTAGGTCTCTTGGACACAGTCTTACTTTGTAGCCCAAGCTGGCCTTAAACTTAAGATTCCCTTGCATTCCCAAATGTTGGAATTCTAGTCATGCTCCACTATTCCTCATTAGGTTGTTTGTTCTTGACAGTTTTAATTTTCCCACCTACTTTAGTTGCATAAAAATACATTCTTTTTTTAATTGTTTTAGTACCTTACTCTAGAGAGTACAGCATCTTTTTTTTTTTTAAGTCTAACATAAATGGATGCTTTGACCTTTTTTGGATAAATTAAGGACCAATGCCTCTATTCTGCTGTTACAAGTAATTTGTTACTAGAGTTTATTTTAGTCTCTTTTATGCTTGTATAGGAAAATAACAGACAGGTCTAATTTATAATGAGCAGAAGTTAATTCATAGTTTGGAATCTGAGCAAGGACTGACATCTTATAAATGCTTTCTCCTTGTGTCATCTCGTGGTGGAAGGGCAAGAGAGAGCAGGAGATAGAACTCACAACATTGATTCCTTTTATAATTGGCACTAGTCATTCATGAGGGTAGGATTCCCATGATATAATCTGTTCCTATTAGTCCCTCTATCCCAAAACTTCTGTTGAAGATCAAGGTTCTTCTATGTACTTTGGAGGGGGACAAATAAAATTAGTACAGTCTACAAATAAATACCTGGGTAGTTCATAGGATAATCAGTTTTCTATTGCCCTTCATTTCTTCTCTACCTTCAAGCACCTACTGAGATTTATGTGGACAGTCTAGAATCTGGAGTCATTATAATTCACCTCTAAAGAATATACTTTACTGTAATTCTATATTGTGGGTGATATCAGATCACTTCAGTTTTCATTCTTCTAGAAATGTTTTTATTTTTCAAGTATCTTTATACTGGGGCAGATTTTTATGTTAGTAATCCATTAAACACCTGGAAAACATGGTCGTTTGGCTTCTACTACATCTGTTAACAATGGTTAATAGTCTAGTAGTTGTTTTGTAAGTAATCTATCTGGGCTTTTTTCTTACTTAATCTCAGATGCCTAAATGTGTTTGTATATGTGGCGGATATAGTTTTTAAATCTGTTTGGTGTTTCATCATTTTTGCAGGTAATTCATTCTTAGGTACTCTTTCTGTTCTTCTCCTGTGAGACTCGAGTCACACAATCTGTGTGTGTGTGTGTGTCCTATATGAAATCAAATCGCCATGTGTGTTGGTATCATAGTACTATCTTCTCATTGTAGTAATTTGTTTGTAATATTTTCCCTTCGGAACTTGTTTTGGAGTGATGATTTATAGTGAATAATCTTGTCATTTCACAAAAAAAAAAACTTGACTGCCTATTTGTTTGCTCAAGAGTTAATAGCCCTCTTATTCTTCTAGGTTTATCAACACTTCTCATCAAATGACAAAGTAACTGTTACTAAAATAGTAAGCCAACATTCATGGCTAGCTTTTGCTTTTTATTGTTTATTTATTGTGTATGTAGTGGTAGTTGTTTGAGACAGGATCTCATTATGTAGCACAGTGTCTTAGTCTCTGTTTTATTTCTGTGAAGAGGTACTGTTTGACACCGTGACCAGCAACTCTTAGAAAAGAAAGCATTTAATTGGCATCTTGCTTACAGTCTCAGAGGGTTAGCCATAATGGTGGGAGCGTGGTGAAATGCAGGCAGGCTCTGATGAATACATCCTGATTCTTAGGAGAGAGGTAGAGAGCCGAGGCTTAGTATGGACTTTTAAAGCTTCAAAAGCTACCCAGTGACACACCTCCTAATCTTTACAAAGAATTCCATTTCCTGGTGACTAGATATTCAAATATGTGAGTCTAAAAGGACCATTCTCCTTCAGTCCACACAGGTGACTCTCCTGTCTACTGTTTGCTGGCAAAATAGTGTGTGCCCTCATGCTCTGCTTGATTTTTCTTGATGTCATAGTTCTCTAGGAAAATTAATGTTTGCTGTACAAAATATACAGGAAGAGTGGGAAGGTTGAGATGGAAAGAAACTTGAAATTATGTCAATTCCTTTGTAAAGTAGTGAACAACACAGATATATGTTGACAGTAGAAAAGGTAATACTATATTGAAGTGTTTTGTAATCATTTCATTTGAAATTGGACTTCAGATAAACTAAATTTTTTGACAAATTACAAAAATTGGCAAAGTAATAACTTTTTTCTTACCATAGACCTTTAATATTGATGTACGGCAGTTACATTGGGCAGAATATATAGAGAACTACTGCATGGGGACTAAAAAATATGTATTGAATGAAGAGATGTCTGGCCTCCCTGCAGCTAGAAAGCATCTGAACAAGTAAGTCAGGTTTGGTGCACATTTTCTCTTCCTTACGAAATATTCCACAGTTTACTTTGGTGAAATAGTATTCTGAATAAAAATGATATATTTAGGGATAATGCTTACCTTTGTGTTTGTAACTATGTGATATTTATTTAAGATTATTAAAGGACTGGAGAGGTGGCTCAGTGGTTAATAGCACTGACTGCTTTTCCAGGAGAACAGAGTTTGATTCCCAACTTGCTTGGTGGATCACAATTATCACTCCAGTTCTGGAGGATCCCACCCACACCATTTTCTGGCTTCCATAGGCACCAGGTACACATGTGGTACCCAGACATACATGCAGGCAAAATTCCATACACATAAATAAATGAATATTATAAAAACTTACTGTCTTAATTTTTGTGTATTCCTGCTTATGAACATTGGGTAAAATTTAATTTTGAAAATCACTATTTGCTTCCCTTAAATTTATATTGAAAAGGTAAAAGTATTAGCAGAAAATGAGAATATTGTTTGAACCAAAAGTTACTTATATAGCTTTTTATTTTTTAAACTTATATCACAGAGTAATGGTAGTCTTAGTTTCTTAGTAGAAGTAGTACATACTGTTTCAAAACATAATAAACTCAGAAAATAGAGGAGTCAATATCAGCTTTAGTCCCATCATTCAGAGAGATTTAAGTACTACTAAGGGTCATCTCATTGTAGTATTTTTTGTGATTTCTAAGATTGATACTGTTCATTTGCCAAGATCTTAGCACTATGGACCTTGCATAATGCTAGTTTTATTGATGAGGAAACAGGTTTGCATATTTTACTAACTGTAAGGAAACTACAACATAGATGTTTTGACTACTTAATTTAAAGCCAATGTCTCTACTTCTACACCTTTGTTGCTGCTGTTCTACAGTCATTTCTTGGACTGCATGATTAAGTTATTGGAATTTATAATAGTATCTATCTGAAGGATTAAATTGCTTCATACAACCATCAAAAAAGCCCTAAAAAATATTGAGAAATAAGAACTTGCTGATCTTTGAGAGCAGAAAGGTTCTTTATGGAGCTAATGCTATCTTTTATTCTTAGATGAGGATTTATCAATTGATGTTTGAGTTTTGGGACTGTTAGCTGTCAGCAACATTTTCAGATTAGATAGAAGCTCTAGGAACTCAGACATGTATCTGTTTTACTTCTCCATCTCTCCCTCCGTCCCTCCCTCTGCCCCTCCCTCCCAGGTTTCTCCCATTCCTCTTTCTTTATTTCTGATGGGGTCTCATTCTGTAGCCGAGGCTGACCTCAAATTTAGGATCTTCCTGCTCAGATTCAGCCTCCCAAGTGCTAGGATCACCATGCTTGGCTTAACCTACAGTTTATTGATGTCTGCCACAGGAATGGGCACACAGGGATGCTCTGTTTAATTGCTGCTTACTAAGTCTGTAGTCCAAGTCCTAATGAAGAGACTTTGCTGTACTCCCTGTTGTTAGAGTAATGCATTGGTATTCTATCATTCAGGAGCAGGCAGGCATGTTTGAATTATGCTAACTTGAACTTAATAACTTTTAGTTTAGCTTTGAAATGTTGAAAGTTAAAAGATTGCTTAAAACTTTGATTAAATTATAACTATTAGTTAGCTGCTATCCAAAAACAATTTTATCCTAGAAAATATTTAGTTTGTCTCTTGATTTGCTTTTCAGATTGCGGAATATCCGTTATGGTTTCAATACCATCCTTGTGATTCTTATCTGGCGCATTTTTATTGCAAGATCACAAATGGCAAGAAACATCTGGTACTTTGTGGTTAGTCTGTGTTACAAATTTCTGTCATACTTCCGGGCATCCAGCACTATGAGATACTGAAGACCAAGAATTTAGCATTAGAACATCTATGCATATGGTGATCTAAATGCACAAAATATAAAATGTACCTAAGTCATCTCACCTTTTGTTAAGACATTAAACCATCTTAAGTTGGAGTGTGAAGTAAATTATGGTCCATTTTATGTAATATTTTAATGTCTATGCTTAAAATCAAGTGAACACACTGTGGTATGCCAGCTCAGATCTGTAATACCCACTCAAACTATGACTTAACATTTTGATCCTTGCAATGCAGAGGGTAGGAAGAGGGCAGAAGTGGGGCTATGGGAACACTGACCAGTATAACTGTGCAGTTCTGGAACATAATAATTAAAACATGCCTTAACATGCAGTCCTACTATTCAGTGCAATGGGAAGTGTGCAGACAGGAGCACTAGCTAAATTAGTTAAAGTATTTGATTTGATTCTTCAATGTTGGATTTCTTTTTTTTTTTTAATCAGATGAAAGGTGGGTTTTAGTTTTGTTAAGACCATAGCCATTTTTGCTTCCTGTAAGTTATAGGTGGTATCAAATTTAAAGACATTTTCTAATTTTCTTTCTGATTCAATGTGTATAACCTATCATTTTTTCCTGCAAGTGATCAGTTGCTTTTATGATCAGTAGGCCAAATATTATTCTAAAGACAGTAATAGATCTAAATGAATTTGAGAAATTGTATCAGTATATGCTCTGTGCATTTGAAGCAAAGTGAAAACATACACAGTAAAGCTGCATTAGTATTAAAAGAATAGGAAAACATTTTCTAGTCTACATTTTGATCAAATGGAACTCTGGTGAGATGTGTTTTCATTTTGATAAGGATTTCTTCAAACTTGATTGGAGGTGGGATTGGAGAAGGATTCATCATATGTGTTCTTTCCTCCCTTATAAATTTTCTCACGGGAGTTACCCTGTCTGAACATGCATCATTATGAAGGAATGTAGTTGCAGCTTTTAACATTAAGAAAATGTCCTCATGTGTTTGCCAACACATACTAACTTTTGACCTGGAAAGCTGAATTCCTTAAAAATAAATGATGCTTAAGTATGTGTATAAAATTAAATAAAAGATTTTACCATGTAAGTAGCAAACTTTTGAATGAGTATCAAGTCATCATTTCTTTGCATGTTGTTTTAGCTTTAGAAAGACATGCGTTATAGAAACAAATAATAGCAAGAAAGTTGATGTGTATTTATTGATACATTACAGTTCCCTTTAAATCTTACTAGTTTGTTACTATTTTATCATATATTTTCTTTAATGGCTTGTTCAGCACAACACTGCTATAATTAAGCTGATCAAGTTGTTCTACAGTTAAATCATTAGCAATGTATCTTGAAAGTACTCAAAGGGGTCAGTTCACACTGTACAAGAAATTAAATGTAACTTTACATTTTAATTTTTTGTCAATTGAAATACAATATAGAAGAAGTTTATTTTGCTATTGTGGAAAAACAAAATGTAAAGGAAACCAACTTTTTCCATGCAGGTGTATAGTCTTGAAAAAGAAAAAAAAAATGCTTCTGTATTGAAGCCAGACTTGGTGTAGTAAAACTTTTAAACATAATTTTAAAAGAAGTATATATGTAAATATCTGTGTATTCTTTGGAATGATACTGAAGTCTCTGGTCTAGGACCATGCCTTGTATAAGGTATGAGAGACCATGATAGTGTGTGAAAATAGAATAAAATGATGCCTTTGATTTAAGGTGGCCCGTATAATATACATTGAGTACTCCATGTCTTCAAATACATTTCCATGATGTAATGAAAACACACTAACCTTTATATAATTTTTTTTTATACATCTGCCAAATATACCTAGAATCTGGTGAATTGTCTTTGGGTCTCAGAAAAGAATCAGGTGCAATGTATGCAGGTCTGTAAAGTGAATTGGACATGTGTCTTTTTGTTTTATTGCTCTTGTACTCTAATTTAAAGAAATGTTAACTAGTGCTAACTAGGGTCATGCTGAGGTTATAAATTAATTTTGTGTGTTTAGAATTCTGTTGTCAAAAGAAAGATAATGAATAAATGATATTCATCCTGGAATTTACAATTTTGAAATTAGTATGGAGAGTAAAATTTGAGATTGTCAGTCCTCATTAAATAAGCTTTGGATTCAAGTCATATTTGAAGAGTTTGGAAACATACTCTGTAATTTTCTAGACAGTATTTTTAGTTCTGATTATATTTTCCATATAGATTTTATTCAATAGGACAACCTGTAAAATAAATTAATTTAATTCAACTCATTTGACAAAACTGTATTCTAAACCATTTGGGCTTTTTCCTTTATCTTTCCTTCTCTGAACTCTGGCATACATATCTGTACACTGTAATGTCATTGTAACCATTTAATTGCCTTGGCAACGCTAATGTATTTTAAAGCTTCGTGCAGATAAGCATGATCAGGTTGTATGTTGTTTGACTTAAGGGTGACATAGAATAAGCGTTCCTCCAGTCTGCCATATGGAACTTGGAATTGGGAGGGGGCTTTCCCTTCTCCCCTTTGTGCTTGTCTGTAGGAACTGATTGGGAAATTTTGTTTTGTGTTTTGTTTATTTTTAAGTGTAAACTTATAATCTTTTATAAGTAAATAGAAGCATTGGGTGCCTTTGTTTGTAAACCAAAAAGTAATAAATGAATCCCTATATTTCTATTCTAGCATCTATTGTATTTTTACATTGTGGAAATCATCCCTGAATTAACATAGCTAATTAGTTCTGAACATTTTTTTCTTTCTTAGGTGTCCACATTCATTCTCCCCATCTTTTCATTTATGTCTGAGTTGTTAACACAATACTTTAGGGGAAGCATATAGGCAGAATAAATAAACAGTTAAAATATTTTTATATAGTAGTTAATAATGAGGCAATTTTTAAAATGTAAACAGAACCAGGAGACCACCAGCATGTTTCTAGAATAAATGACATGTTAGTTTATAGATTCTTCACCAGTGAGTTGACTTCACTTAAAGGATTCTTCATTTTCATAGAGATTCAGTGAACCACTTGGGGGAGACTGAGAGCACATCAGGATGGGCTTTGAGTGCAAATGGCTTTGTAAGCATGCCTTTCTAGGCCAGTTTCCAGCTCTGCCTTGAAACCGTTTGTGCTGACTTGTTCTGCTTTGAGAAAAACATTCTAACTTTGCATGAGAAACTTAGAGAAAAGGGTATATGCTGCGTAACTTAAAACAGAAATGAATTTGTCTGTTTAAATATATATGAAATATTTTCTTAATAAAGAAAACTTGAGCAACATTGTTTGATGTGCTACTTTTGCAAGTTGATAAGTCCAAAATGCATATACTTAGAAAAGCTCCAAGTAGTATTTGAGTTTAATACATTTCTTGTTGGCTTGAGCTCTGAAGAAGAAAGCTCTCATTCTGTGTGTCCTTGCTTTGGGCTGTAAACCATGTACTATAAGACCTATGAAGGTTTTTCTAAATTTATTATATAAACTTTCTATTGAAATATTCTCAATATATTTATCATAAGATTATGCTAATGAACTTGACATAGTAATATAATTTTATGTGAATAAACCTTTTTAAAGAGGAAACATGTGTAAACAGATAAATTAGGATAGTTTTATTTGAAATAGTCATCCAGGGAGATCATGTATTTTAATTTGTCAGTGTTTAGTTTGATATTTAATACTTGATTTGCTCTATGTTATAACTTTCTCAAGTTCCTATTTTATAACTTGGTTCTTGGTTCTGTGAGAGCAAATCTACCATGCATGTTGGACATTGTAAAAACTTTCTGACACTTTTTGATTATTTCGTGTTTATTAGGATTTACAGTAAGCATTTCCTTATGATGCTCTGTTTATGCCTTACAACAAGCCCTCTGTCAAAAGCACCTCTGTTGTCCCTGTTTTAGTGGGGTAACTGAGGCATACAACACATAATATCAGTGGCAGAGCTAGGATTTGAATTCATTCTAGCTCTGAAGCCCACAGTTTTGTTCAATATAACTATAGGTGGCTTTCCATACCCACATCTCTGGATTCAATCAACCATAGCTTGAAAATAATTTTAAATTACTTACAAACATGTCTTCCCTAAACAATATGGTATAGCTTTGGTCTTGTGCCCTTAGTTAACTGACTGTTTCCTCAGGTGATTTGTTGTGTAAGCCTATATGTACTTAAACCTAGATGATTATTCTACACTTAGGGCTTGTAGTATATACTGTTAAACATGTGACCTGCCATTTGAAATGTTCTGTGCTGCATGACTCTTTACATAGCATTTATATTAGGTATAAGTAATCTAGAAGTACTTTCATGTGTACAGGTCACTGCAAACAGTGTATAACTTTATAAAGGACTCAAGCATCCAGAGATTTTGGATTTGAAACTAATTCACTGTTCAGAGAAAGTTCATTGTCAGGTTGTACTTAATGTTCATTTTTCATCCCTAAAACTCTACATTAATTTATTCAACAAATACTGACTGCCTATTATGCTTAGGTACTATTTTATATGACAAGTGTCTATATCGCCAAATGATAAGCTTCAAAGTAACCCAGTCCTGAATGTGCGGCACTATCATTCCTTAAGAGCGTTTTGATTTGATAAAAGCAAGTTAATATATACCACAAATAAGAACTAACTACAGCTGAGAGGAGGGAGCACTCACTGCTTTAATAAAAGTATCATCATAAGGTATCTGTGTTGTGATTTCAACACCCAGCAGGAGGAGGGTGGTGAAGAGAGGTTTCCAAGCCTTTGGAAGTGTGTCTGGAAAGGTAATGTGAACCATAAGGAATTTTTTTTTTGTTTTGATACTAAAAGATAAGGTAGTTAAGGAAAATTGAGTCTGGGGAGGGAGGGAAATGGAGGGCCTTTGCATGCTCAGAATTCACCGTTGTGAAATGCCCATTAAAAACTCAAATACCACAAGATTTTTCTGGACCACGTATATCCAAAAATATAGATTTAAGTAAATAAAATTGTTGAAGGAAGAAAGCACTGATGTGGTGTCATTGTATTTTTAGTATATAAACCCTACTTGTTGAAACAAACCTTGCTTTCAGTTTCATCTGATTCTCACGATGTAATCTCCAGGAAGCATGGACATCTCATAGAAACACAGAAATGCATTTTGAGTCAGGAGCCTTGGGTTTCAACAAGCGCCCCCAGACCCCAAGCCCTCATGTAACACTGATATCCACTATCAGCTGGAAAGAATTGTTCAAGACAACCTTGGTGAGGTACAGTGTTCTAGGTTAGCCCATTGGGGTTTCAAGAGAAGGTCAAGAAAAATCAAGATAATGGGATATGGACATACATAAAGGTCAAAAATGGCCTGAATAGAAATAGGAGGCCAAAATACTAGATGCTACTGCCATGTGGGAAAGTGAGGTAAGCTAGTTTTTGTTCTACTCTTAAATATTTTCTTTGTTTTGCCATAAATATGAGTTGTTTTTAAACTAAAAAGTTTGTTTTTAAGTTACAAAAGAAGGCACAGCATATAGAAAAAAAATCAGCCAAGATTAAAATGTGGTTTTGCTCTATTAAAGGGCCAGGATTTATTCATTCTGGATTGTTAGCTTGAGGAAGCATGTCTGGCTCATAGATGGGAATGATTTACAGCAGCTTATCTGGGTCTTTTGTTTTAGATTTTCCTAAGTACTTAACCAGGTTGTGACTCAACCTGTCTGTGTTCATCTTGCCAACTGAGTAGTACCTGTTTGTAGCCAGTTACAGACATCAACTAGCTTTGTATTCCAATGATAATGCCATATTGGCATTCTTACTTATTCGTTATGGAGCCCTAAGTTTATGGAATGAATTAGCCCAGAGGTGGTTGCTCTACTGGTGAGGACTCAGAAGGAATTTCTGGTCCTTGAAGCTATGTTCCAGGGCCCTGTGCCATGGTAGCCCCTCACCACCATGGCATGACCCAGCCAGTTGAGTATTGGTAATTCTAGTCCCCGTTGAGGAAATCTGAAATAAGGACATTTGTCTTATTGTTTAAGAAAATTAGGGATTTTTTTTTGGTTTTTTGCATACCCTGTTACATGGAAAATACCTGTTCATGCATATTTCAACTATTACATCTGTGAGCTCTCTCAGCAGGCAGACTTGCCTTTTAGCTGATGGATTAAGATGTGCTTTTAGCAGTCTTTGGATTAAGTATCTTATGTGCAAGATTTTGCAAAGAGGACTGAGAGGATATTGCAAGTTCATACCAATAACCTTTTATTTTTTAATTGAGACATGTTAATAATACAAGTGGCCAAGTTAGAAACTCTGCAGTTGTTCTGGTTTCACTCTTTTGCTGTAATAAAACACTGATGAAACAATTTAGGGGAAGGAAGGATTTGTTACGTACTTTCAGGTCATAATCCATCATTGAGGCAAATAAAGACAGGATTTTGGAGCAGAAACCATAGAGGAATAATGCTTGTTGGTTTACCCTTCTTAGCTTGCTTTCTTGTATAGCCCAAGACCACCTGTACAAGGAATCGTACTGCCCTCGGTGGGTTAGACTCTCCTACATCAATGAACACCCAGGACAATTCCCTACAGGCCAATTTGATCTAAGTAATTCCTCAATCCAAGCTTTCCACTTAGATAATTTCAGGTGGTGTCCAGTGACAAACTTCGTAACAGTTGACAAGCTTCATTCAATAAGCATTAAGAGGCTATTTGTTATTCACTAATTTAAAAGCTATCTTTAAATTCTTAAATCATAACAGTATCAAGTGGGGTTTTTTGTTGTTGTTGTTGTTAAAACATTTATCCAAAGAAGTTCAGTAGTATAGATTAAGGACCCTTTTGATTCTTGCCATGCTGGTTGGGAAGGCACATAGCATCTGACAGCATAGTAGATTAGTCTGCCCTCTCACTGGCCTGCCCTCACACATGCCTTCTTCATGTTGTCAGAATGCATCACTAGGCTTGGGCCATGGTACAGCAAAACACTGTCCACTTTGCTTAGCTGTCCACCTAGCATTTCTCCTCAGTTTCCTCTTGCCATAGTTGTAGGATTATTTGGACTTGTACCATGTTATCAATTCCCTCTTACCATGTTCTTGTTAGTTTAACAGATCGCCAGATTCTAGGTCATCACAGAACAAATAAGATGATTTCATGAGGAAGCACCAGTACTTGTATCCAGAAATACTGCTCAACACTGAGATGTGTTAATACAGTTTCATAAAGGCATTCCCACAACCACCCCTTGAGAAGAAAAATGGAGGGGTTTCTTGTGTCAGAAAAGAAAATACTCTCCATCAATAATGAGTACAAGAGGGGAATTGTGGACATGGAGGTATTTTAAAGCTCCATTGTGGATCATTTTTCTCAAGCCCAGGCGGCATGGTACACCTGGCTGTATCTCTGAAGGCTGTACATTGCCTGTTTGCCATCCCTGGTCCCCTTGCTGCATATTTCTCGGTTAACCCTCCATCTGGTTTGTATTACCACCTCTCACTTGAAAGTGTCCTTACTGTCTTGATTCCCAAGAGCATCTGGCATCCATTTCCCAGTGTACTGGGCTGATCCCCCTTCTAGGAGATGAAATAAGCTTACACAAATGACAGATTTATGCTTTAGGACATAACCACATGGTTAGATTGGGTTTTAAAGGGTGTCCATTGATAACTTGCCGACTTGATTCTACCTGTCAATCTATAAATTCTTT